TTGCAGGCAGGCATGCGGATGGCTGTGGGAAAAGGGGGGCGGCGCTTGTTCCAGCTCTACACGTTAGGGTGGAGGGGATGGTGCTGAGCGTGAAATTGCCCCTTGGGGTAAATACCCAAGTTCAGTGAGTAGTGTGCTTACCAGAGTAGCGGTGCAGAGAGCAGCAGGATAGAAGTGGTTGTTTATACGTTGCGTGTTCCGTTTTGTCATCGTGAAGGTAATGTGTGCTTAGAAACGTGTTTTACTCTTCTTGCTTCCCCTGCCACCTTGCCTCATTCTAGGTAGTCAAGCCACATACTCCGTTAATTAAGTTCCCAGACCGAAAAAGTAGTCCCAGACCTAAAAGTAAGTATTTCATCTCCAGATACAGCCTGTGCCGCGTTTCTTTCCATTAACTGTTTTGTGTGAGAAGCAGAGCCCAGTTTTTCTCTTTCAGCTGTGCAACTCTGCTGGTTTTGAGCAGCCCTTCTGAAACATAGTTGTTTTAGTTTAACACTTCATTTTCAGACTCTGTGTGAACACACCTAGTACATGCATGTCTTTATTTCTTGGTCAAGGCAAATTCACAAAGATTTCCAGTGCTATTTTTCAACTTAGATTTAAAGCCCCATTTTTCTGAATACTCATATTTGCTTCAAATAATTGTTTGAAGCAGCTGTACGTATTTTGTGATTTTTGCTGAAATGATTTTGGTTTTCCTCAGATTTTCTTATTTGGATTGGGCAATATCTGATGTATTTAAAATCATGATTATAGCTGGGAGAGCCATCCTACTATATGTTTTAGGAAGCACTTCCTTGTGCTACTAATTAATGCTGAGAAATAGTTTCATTGCAGCCTTTAACGTTGATTTTTACACCTATAGGTTGATGTTTAAGGTTTCCTAATAATGTTACATTTAAACATCAAAGTTACATCTGCCATACGGCATTTTAATGTCCCTTTTCAAAGCTTTTGAAGCCAAAGTAGGAGATGACTTAATAAGCTGTGTTATGTTATTCTTACTTCTTAAGAAACAATACTATACCATTTACTTGCTACAGCATTACCGTGTTTGTAATTTTAGCTTTTAGTTTACCCACTAACAGCACAGGTTATTTACAATGCACATCAGTGCCACTTCTGACTTGGCCGTGAACTCTTCAGGAGCTACTTTTTCTGTCAGAATTCAGTTTGTTGCACAGAGTTCAGCCGAAGGTGTCACTCTTGTGCTGGTGAACCGCTTTCTCAAAGTCTTGAAAAAACTGTTACTTGCCTCTTGTCTGTTTCTGGATCAGGGTTCTTTGTGATTAGGTCTTAGGCTTTTCTACCTTAATCATGTTCTGTCATCTCATTAATAAACTGTAATCTACCTCATCTTGCTTGAACGCCATACCATCAGGCTCTTGTGTCTCCGTAGCCAAACAGGGTTCTGCTGATCAAGACTAAATTTTTAGAGATGTGTGTGCTTGAAAGAGCAGCCAAATTCTTTTATCATATTACTACTGCAACATGATGGTCTCAAAGGGAAAAATGTAGTAGAGACTGTATCTGAGCCAAAGCAACAGCGTTATTAGGGCTGGTACCTTTCAGTTTTGACTTCGTATGTTTTTAATCAGCTAATGCGTCTACTCCAACTGCACTTCACACCGAAACATACAGTGGAGGAGAATCCTTGGCAAATCTCAAGACATTTTTGTGGTCTATGAAACAAACTTGGAGAAACTGCTTATTGGATTGTGACTTTTTTTCATATATAAGGTGTGTTATTTCTTGAAACAAAAATACTTTGCCCCCTGTTAAGAATATGCTCCTTCTGATGGGCTGTCTTCCTCCTACCGTTTGGGACCTTCCCTTGTCCCTGGTCAACTTGGGACTTTCAGATACAGTCTTCTGACTGAGAACTTCTGAATAAGCCTCTCAGTGGGGGCGCCTTTTTTTTTTAAACACTGACAGTGATTTGATCACATTGCTGCAGGCGTTTGATGTCCCAGTCTTGCCATTGACTCGGACTCACTAGGGCTAAAGCTGGCTCCTGTCCTTTGTCCTCACTGATCTTGTTGGAGGGAGAGAGGAAGGCGATGCTGTGGTATTTTAACTCCTGGTGTCCTTTAACTCATCCCGTCTCAATGCTGCTTATTTTATAGTCATATAGTCCCTCTGTCCTGGCTGTTTAGATGTCGCATTTGTCTTGGTCATTTTTCAGGAGCACTGAGAGGGACGCTCTTTGGAAGCATTCTGCTTTGTATACGTGTTTTAACCTATATACAGAGGGCTGAGTGCTTATGAAGTAAATGTACTGCTGCCTAGTGGGGCAATGGCGTACTTCCACTGTAAAATCAGCGTGGTGGTGGGACAGACCTACGGTGCAGAATGCTGACTTTGACCACACTGCCCTTTTGTCATCTGTTCTCCTATCCTCAAACACAGAGCACCTTCTTTAATGTGCATTACTGCAGCCTAGCTCCCGGACCTCACCTGTAGAGTACTTCATGCACTCTTTGGTCTCTGCATTTCATAGAATCACAGAATGGTTTGGGCTGGAACAGACCTTAAAGATCACCTAGTTTCAACCCCCCTGCCATGGGCAGGGACACCTTCCACTAGACCAGGTTGCTCAAAGCCTCATCCAGCCTGGCCTTGAGCACTTCCAGGGATGGGGCATCCACAGCTTCTCTGGGCAACCTGTTCCAGTGCCTCACCACCCTCTCCAGGAAGAACTTCTTCCTGATATCTAATCTAAACTGACCTGCTTTCGTTAACAGTGATGCCACATCATAACAAAATCTGATATGATGCCGTTTTGAAGTGCTAAAAATGGGTACAACACTGCATTGCATGTTGCGATGTGTCACAGTTGTGAGCTTCATCTTTCTGTAAGCCTCTGCCTCTTTTTCACTTGCCTGTCTTTACAGTCACAGTAAACAAAAAGCATCACCTCAGTGGATCTCGGTTGTTTATCCCAGTTATCCTGCCACATAATTGCCTCCACACACACATTTAAGATACTTTAGGCTTTTTCTGTAAGTACAGCTTCCCAGCAAAAAAAGTCTTTGTTAGGATATATCCTGATTTATCTTCTGTTTCTACGTCAGTATTTCTGCCACTCAAACATGCTTTCTTTTACTGTTGGATTTTTTCGCTATGCTCTTGATAGATTTAACAATAAAAGCAAGTTGTGAGTAGTGTCTTAATTCTTTTAAGTATTTTTTGTAATGAAGAAAATTGTCAGTAACTGGCAAATTTTACTGGCTGCTCATTAATTAATTCTACGTTCTTGTGATATCTCTGTAAATGGTTTTGCAATCTGGGTTCCAGTACAGGAATCTCTACAAGCAAGCGTGCCATCTCTCCTTGCTTCAAAAGCACAGGAATCTTCAGGAGGCAGTTCGCTGGCATTTCAAAATATGTCACCTATTAGACTACAAGGTACACCAGACACTTCTGAATTAGCAAGAACCTTACCTCAGAAGTACAGAAGGAAACTCATGTCAGATGAAGAGATTGAATATATTCAAGTAAGTTTCATTTATTGGTGTGTGTTGTGCGTATCTCCTGAGCATTTAGCTTACTTCTCCATCAAAGGTTCAAGTAATGGTATTGCTTTGTAATTCCCGTCAAGGGTGCGCTGCCAGCTTTCAGAGCTTTGGTGCACACCACCTACACTACAGATTCTTAGTGCACAAGGTACCTGACTCTCACTCACGATGTGGTGTCACTGAGAGATGCAGACTTAAACCAGACATGCAGGTGCTAGTCACAGACTGCGTTACTCGGCGTCGCTACCTCTTCTGCAGCAGCCGTTCAGTGTGTAGTTGGCAGGGGCCCAACAGGAGCACAGGAGTCTGCTGTTAGACCAGCAGAGGCCATGGCCTCTGACTGAAGTCCAAAATGCGTCTCAAGCTAGTTTTATGTCATTTATTATAAAGTTAACTCTTGCATTTCCAGTAGTGGAGACATTTTATTAAGCCCGATACCAATATTTTCTGCAAATGTTTGCAAATATGGCATTGCAGGTGAAAGGCAAGAAAAACCTGCTTTTGTTCTGTAACAATTCTCAATTGCGAACGGTGGTGCATAAGAAGGGGGAATGCACAAAATGTGAAGAACTGGTGAGATGGGGGTGAGTTTGAAATGAAAAGGAGTGTGTGTAACTTTGTTGAACGATCAGGACACCTACAGGGTAATCGTGTTAGTAGAGGAAAAACTGCCCTTGCATGGATGTGGGTAGGCTATTATAATTAGAAATAAAACTAATTATTTCCCACAGTAATAGACTTCTTGACCTCTAACAAATTTTCTAACGGTGAGATAAATTGAAAACACTTTTGTTGGGGAGATAATGAATTGAGTAACTTCTGGTGTCTCATAAAGATTGTAACGGCTCACGTTGGTTTGTTTTGACTTTGCGCTTTGGAACTTGGGTGGTGGAAATAATTGTGAAACTTGTGTTCACTATTGCAGTGTTTGTGAGACATTTCTAAACTAAGAGTCAGGTTTCTTCAGGGTGGGAGAAGTGGAAGCAGCTGTCCTTGTATGTTGCAGGTGTCCTATTCTCCCCTGGAAAAAAAAACGGAGCTGTTGCTGCTGGCTGCTGGTGTTTGACATTCTGTGCATGTTCTTAAATAGGTTAAAAATTGATGTATAAATCAGAAATTAAAATGAGGACTCCGTCTGTTAGCCTGTCACCGTGTAAAAAAAGATTGGATTTCTATTTCCCTTTCTCTTAGTGGAATAGATTTAACTGCCCACTTTTCTTTTACAGCGTGGAGGCCCAGAGTGAGTATGGACGGCAGCTCCTTGGCCACTGTTGAAGTATTGCATTCACAATAAAGGCATTTCCTTAACATTGTAAGTGATCGTATTCGGGTGGCTTTAATAAAAACCTGTAAGAAGGGTGGGAAGGTTGACACACAACCCACTGTGTATTCATTTGTGACTGAGAAGGATTTTGTCAATGGCTAACTAGCCGTTGACTGTACTCAATGTCCACACCATATTTTTCCAATTAGCCATTTGCAAACTTGACAGTAGAATCACAGAATTGTTTGGGTTGGAAGGGACCTTAAAGACCATCTAGTTCCAACCCCCCTGCCATGGGCAGGGACACCTTCCACTAGACCAGGTTGCTCAAAGCCTCATCCAGCCTGGCCTTGAACACTTCCAGGGATGGGGCATCCACAGCTTCTCTGGGCAACCTGCACCAGTGCCTCACCACCCTCTCCAGGAAGGATTTCTATTTCATATCCAATCTAAATTACCCTCTTTCAGTTTAAACCCATT